CTCTCTCTCTCTCTCTCTCTCTCTCTCTCTTGTCTCTTCTATCTCCATCCCCCTCTATCTTGTTTTTCGTCCTCTGGTCTGGTCCTAGAACTCGCGTCATAAAACTCAACCGCCAATCTCCGTATTTACCAAGCGGCAATAACGGTTATTACACAACATCGGTTAATGATAATTAGATTGAGGATGAAATACTAATTATCGGGCCGTCATAAAAGGGCACCGCCGTTACTGGATTCAGCCAAGATTGTGTGTTTACCCGCCATAAATCCAACACTAGACATGACTTTGATCACAACCGAAAAAATAGGAAAATAATGAGGGTGGCTTATTTTGTCAAGACAAAAGATGTGTCCGGAGTTACTTTTTGAAGTGTGGGAGGAAGATACGCACTTCTAAAGACGGGGTATTTTGAAAACGGATGCATGGACTTATTAACATAATGTCAAGTTACATAGCAACATAGAAAATATACAGAGGCAGACAAAATGATAGAAAGAGAGAGGGGAGACAGAGCGAGTAAGAGAGGGGGCATGAGAAAGATAGAGAAAGAAACAGAGAGGGAAGGGAGAGAGAGAGAGACAAATCAAGATATCACGGAAACTAGAAACAGAGAGAAATAGAAAACAAAATTATTTAAGTCATTATTGGAAGAAAACTTAACCGAAAAAGAAATTAACCATATTATTCAAACTAGTTGGCATTGGAAATACATTAACAATCTATGGTTTATTTTAAAATTCAATTGCTTTATAGGAGGAAAATCTAATCTGGGCTTATTATGCAAAGTTTCTTCTTTAAGGAGGGGGGGGGGGGGTGCTGGGAGCAAATCCCGACACCTCATCATACTGCATGGTTGGTGTTTAATTGCTAATTACAAATGGAAGAATAAAAGTCATAAAATCGGGATTCGTTTAATTATCTCAATTTCGTCCTAATTAAAACTGCAATGTTCCCCAGAGATACTGTGTGCGTTGCTGCCATTACATTCGAGGCAAAGTGGGAAACTTTATGACCTATTTGTATCGTCTGAACGATTGGGATCTAAATTAATGAACAAAATCAGGGATTTATGGCAGCTATTTGAGCATCTCGAGTACCTCCAATGATACAAACATCATAAATGAAGGGTAATTGTATTCAATGTGTAGTGCCGTGATGCAAGACTGCAGGAAAGGTAATTTTTACTATGATCGACAGAGTTAAAATTTGCAATGGTATTATGTTAGCGTACGAGTAAAGTGGTTTTAAAAAAGAGGAAATGATCAATATTGAACATGAATCTGATGAGAGTTATAGCTACTAAACTGTATGTCTACTACTGTCATAATTTTAATCAATTAAACTTTGTATCAATCAAATTAGATAATCGATAGTTTCGATTTTGAGTTTTGAAAAAATTGTAATAAAAAAATTAAATAGATACAAAATAGATCACAGAAAAAGAGACAGAATAAGTAAAAGCGATGAAGGGAGAGAAACAGAGAGAGGGAGACAGAAAAAGAGCAAAGAGGGGGAGAAGAAGGAAAAGAATAATAATTACAAGACTGAGAAGAAGAAGACGGAAAATAAGCAAAAAGAAGGAGGAGAAGAAGAAGAAGAAGAAAAAAGAAGGATGAAAAGGAGACGAAGGAGGAAGAGAAGAGGGTCAATTCTCATGAAAAATCTTTACGGGCACCTTGAGGTGCGGATTTCGGAGGACACTTAGTTCAGTGCACCGCACGGGACCCGGCCGGGCGCCTTAAGGACCCCGGCCGGGTCCCGGCAGGGCACCTTGAGGACCCCGGCCGGATCCCGGCAGGGCACCTTTCGGGAGCCACGGGTGCACCTGCTCATCGGACGGAGCACGTAAGCTTACCGGCCGGCATCCTTACGGGCGCCTTGCATTTCACTCGACCAATTTTCAACGGGCACCTCCCGGGCGCCGCAGAATATGTGACCACACATGCCGTAGAAAAGAAAATCGGAAGGTTCCCGTACGGTCTCTAAATCCACGGCAAGCCGCCGGGTAGGGAAAATCGTACGGGGCCCGGTTTATATGTGACCTAGGCATTATAGAGTAAGATTGAGAGCTTTAAAGAATCAAATAAAAAACGAAACATGGGTCATGATGCTAGGCCTATTTATGACGATATGATGATAGCGCTAACGATGGTGATCATTTCCAAATGAGACGAATAAGATTAGTGTGATTGATTTATTGTCTGCAATAACAATTATTTCGTACAATCCTAATAATTGCTGCTACAAATAAAATGATACGTGCTAAATATTTTGATTATATATACTTACATTATGTTGCCACATTAGTTACATAGTTTAAATTTATACAAATTGAATCAAGCATTGTAAAGTACATTTGCGATCATTCTGATAATGATTCACACTCACACTCACGTTGTCTTTTGCCCCTTCTAATCATTTTACGACATTGCCATAAAGTCACCAATTACCGCTTTGCCTAAATTGCGTGGAGTTGCTACGTTAAAGTTTATAGGTATAATTAGCGCAATGCGATGGGGGTAATAAATACATTAGGTCGGGCTGCAAGTCGTGGTAGAGTGATATAAAATAGGAACATAGTCTCTGCATCACTCATTGGTAAGCTGACTTTTGGTGAGTTCAGAAATCAACCTTGGATTTTTCTTCTTCGATTTGGCTTTAACAACAGGCAAGAAACAGGTAAGACCCTTATTTTAAAAAAGCCTTTTATCTTATTTTGTGAAACTTGAGTTGGCTGGATCCAATCTTTGCCAATATCAGGTAAATCAGCGTATTCCCTTTCCCAAGGCATACATTGTTACATAATTTCATGATCCAAATAGTATTTGGAAACTAAACTTCTTATTACAAACTCTACCTATTAGGCCTATATATATATATATATATATATATATATATATATATATATATATATATATATATATATAAATGTTAAGAAATCCTTAATAAACTAAGATAGCCTATAGGCATAAAGAAGTACACTACTGAACACATTTATAGTCATGAAATACTTCCCAAAACTTTGATATTAGGGTACATATTTTCGTAAATATCGTAGCTGATTTGTTGCAAGTGATTATCTTCAGTAGCTAAATTTTATTTTAGATTTGTAATCATTCCTCTTTTTGTGTTCCTTTTGCCATACTTCCATTTATTTATTTCGAGTTGTTGTTATTATCATTAGTATTATTATTAGTATTATTATTGTTACTCTTATTATTATTATTATTATTATTATTATTATTATTATTATTTTTATTACTACTACTACTACTACTACTACTACTACTACTACTACTACTTCTACTACAACTAGCCTACTACTAAACTATACCGTCATTATCATCATTCATCATTTATTATTCATAATCATTACTTTCTTTTGAATGTTGATTCCACTCCAAATCATAGTGAAATTAACTCCAAACCAGTAGCGCAATCACTCTTTCGAGAGTGGATACCACTATTTTCAGCATGGATTCCACTCCAATACAAATTGATCCATATACTATGACTCCCAAATCGTGGTTTTCCAATGCTGTACATTTACAGAGTATGATCATAATTATCGTCGGTCCGTTTTGATAGTTCACTGGGTAGCGTAATAATCAGTCCTCGGGGATTTGTTGACGAAACAATTTTGTTACTTTCAGGTTGTTAACATAATATATTACCCCATCATAATTTATTTAAAAATCACTTTGTACATCTAAATAAGTGCCTCTTTAAAACAAATTTATGACACTTCAGCAAACATTACTTTGTGAGATAAAATTGTTTTACAACTACCCGAAATTGAAGAATAAACTCAAGTTATCGATGGGTATGAGGGCAACTTCAAAACTTGTTTTTGCTTTCTGCTTCTTCAGGACTGTCTGAAATGCAGCATAGATATAATAAGTATAGGCCTGTGTGTTGCGACAATTCATTTTACCATTATAACAAAGTACATTTTCGAGATGATCATCATATTGTAAACCTATAATTCCTAAGACTCGTAATATATGACTTTTCCCCTCTCCCCCTCTTTCTATTTCTTTCCGGCTCTCACTACTCCCCCTTTATTCTCGATCTCTGCCTCCTTTATACTCTCTCTCTCTCTCTCTCTATCTCCCTCACTCTCTCTTTCTATCTACTCTCTCTTTATCTCTCTCGTTTCTTCTTCTTCTTCTTCTCTCCCCCCCCCCCTTTATCTCGATCTCTATTTCCCTCGCGCGCTCTCTCTCTCTCTCTATCCCCTTTCTCTCACTCTCTCTCTCTCTCTCTCTCTCTCTTTCTCTCTTATAGGAGGTACATGGCAATAATAGGGGCAGACCATTGCGCTAAAAGTGTTTGCTTTTAAAATGATGATATAATACAAAACGGAATGCGAAACCAAAATGTATTTTTTAATTCTACACGATCATAATCAAATACCAGCTTCGGGCGCCTTACCTCTGCAATTCAGACAACTTTTTATGACGTTTACATTGCAGTAAACGAAGTAAAGTACACATTTCTCGGCGTGACTTACTGCTGCCCAACTGACTTTAAATTTCAAAATGAACTTCAGTACCTGAGGGCTTATAATAGACTGATGCAAGGCTGAAAACATGGACCTTTTACGGGTTTGAAGCGCTATTTAGATTTCGTAAGAAGGATCGTCCAACCATTGCTATCATCATTTTTAATATTCTTTTTTTTGTTTGTCTTGTAATTATGGCTAGAACGTTGATGAATCGTTAATCAGAAATATTGTTCTTGTTTTTTCATTATTTTCTTCTCACTTGTAATCAATTGATAAACGAAAATGACAGCGGAATCTAATTTATAAATCTATTCACCATCAGGTTACTTGAACCAGCTATATTTTCTTTAGATGTTTACAGTTGATTTGGTCTGAAAATTGACTATGATCATTAACTATGATGGTTACTTTTCAGATATTCTTTTGCTTCGAATATTGGAAATTATATGTATCCACCGTCTGTTTAATTGATTTCAAGGCATATCCGTGTGCGATAAAGGAACAGACGACTTCGGTACTTGCGTAAATTGAGTCACTATGGAAACCGTGAGTGGTAACCATGTCTCAGTGGTTAAAAAACGTACCTTCTCCGAGATGCTGGACGAGAGTTGTGTTGACGAGGGGAGGAAATCGTACTCGCCTCAGTCTCACAGAGTATGTTCATCAGGAAAGGAGGCTGCGAGTGGTGGGAAAGGCGATGGTGTCGGGGCTGATGATTTAGGTGAGCATTTACATGATTTTTTACTGAGATATTTAGCTTAGTTGAGGAAATTGAAGGAAAAAGAAAACGGGGGTCTATTATCCTCACAAAATAAACAGTTTTTCTTTGTAATGTTTTTCTCTCTCTCTTTCGATCTCCACTGTCTAATATCTTTCTCTCACCATGTCTCTTTCCCTTTCTCTCCCTCTCATTGAGTTTTTTCTTGCTTCTTTTATGATAATGATCTTTTTCCTCTCTCTCTCTCTCTCTTTCTCTTTCTCTCCACTGTCTTGTTATCTTTCTCTCACGATGTCTCCTTCCCTTTCTCCCCCTCTAATTTTTCTTTTCTTGCTTCTTTAATGATAACCATTTTCGGTATATTCTTTCATAACAGCATCCTCAACAGTAACCAACGTATTCATCTCTTGGTCAACTTGGTAACAGTGAATACCACCAACCCCACCTCCTTCTCTATTTTCAATTCTGTTTGCCCGTCATTTGTCTTCTTCAGTTTCTTCTCACCATATTTTTTGCATGATTGTCTTTTTTTAGTGTGGACGTGCCAACTTGATTGATAGATTATGGTCATCAATATTATCTCAAATTTGCTAGACAAACGTTTTCTTACACTATAGAACCACGTGAAGAAAATACCTGGTCTGATTCGAAGAGAAACCGGCGAATTCGCACGACCTTTAACCCGGAACAACTTCGAGAGTTGGAAAATGTCTTCCAAGTGACCCACTACCCGGATGTGAAAACCCGGGACGAGCTATCCAGCAAGACATCACTTCCGGAGCAACGTATCCAGGTAAAATTATAAATTCAATGTGGAAGGAGTTGATCAAGAAAACTTACAATCGAACAAAATTGATGGTATTAATAGCTGACTAGGATAAAGATTATTTGCTGAAAGTTTGGCATTGACTAATTATTTTGAAATATTCGACAAAATAATGTCAATAGGACCCACTTGCAGTCATTTGCCAATCACGATCACCGTTTTCTATAGACGCCTGTTTAACACTGAATCCTGATTTCCTGCAAAATATCGATAGAAAATAGAATAATTAAATAATATCATTGGCCAATCAGCATCGGAGTTTTAGAATTGTCATGATATTGATATCTGAATCAAGATTGGGTGCACTAAAATAGACACTATTAAAAGCTTAACTCTGATTGGTTAATGCTTGTGAAGTGACAATGAACGTAACTATTGACCAATCAGAATCGTCGTTTCCGTCACATAGATTCTAGCTTGTTGGAACATGGACCGCGATTGGCTGTTGCAAAATGGCTCGTACAGGTGTAATCATCCAGTAATTATTGAACGTGCTAGAATCATTATTTTGAACGATAGCTGCTGGTGTTATATTTAATTGCACTCTAAAAACTGAAATGTTAAATCACCATTTAAAAGGGCCGAGGAGTGACCACACTTTCAAAATGGTAGATTAACACTTTGAACATGCTGGATCCAACACTATTAAGGTTGAATCTAGCAGGTTAAAAGAAACAATCTGACATTTTGAAAGAGTGGTCACTCCTCGGCCCTTTTAAATTGACATTTAACATTTCAGTTTTTAGAGTGTGGGAGGCATTTTCTGTAAGAAAAATCTTGATCTATGCCTAACGACAGATTCTAAAAAGACAAGGGAAAACACACAAAACAGATAAAATAATAATAATGATAATTATTTTTAAAAAATCAATTAGGCTAACTCCCTTATTATACTCCCAACGTTATCACATCAAAGGGACCCCACTGGAAATAAGCGCTCGAGCTTTCGTGGGTTATCCTGTTCAAGCTGACTTATTTCTGATCTGTTATTATTGTATATTGTTGTATGTTGGGAGCTTGTCGAATAAAAATCAATCAATCAATCAACATCAATAGTTTCTCTTTCTCTATCTGTTATCTCTCTCTCTCTCTCTTTCTTTCAACTTTATCAGATCTGGTTTCAGAATCGGAGGGCCAAATGGCGTAAGTTTGAGCGGCTGGGTAACTTCGGCGGATTGGAAGAACTGAAGAACACGGAGATCGTTCCTGCCCCGCGGTCCGTCCCGAGGCTAGATCTTGCGGTAAGTCCCGTTCCTCTGTATGGTTTAATGTCATAACTCTTCAGCCCCCTTAAAGCCCCACTGCACTTTGTATAGCTACTTGCGCCCTCTACATAGCAAACAATGCCTAATTGGTGACCGTTGGTCCCCTTTTTTCTTATGTTAATTGAGAGCTGATTTGATGAGATGACCACATGTCAGTACCATGCAGGGAGGTATAATCCCTCCT